GGTAAAATGTTCAATGAAGCTTCTAGATATGCAACTCGAAAGCATTGAAAATTTCACAGAATATCAATTCAGAAAGATTCTAGGACTCTGTTCAGAATCCCTACTCGTATTAAAGATAGGCCTTGATGATCTGTGCGAGAGCAGAACTCAAGATAGCTGGATGGCCTGACCGAAGACTTGCTACGCTCCCAGAAATTAGAGATTATATCTACTGGAAGAGGTTCTGGGCAAATAGTCTTATCACTGTTAACGAGAAGGCGTTGAAGTGGCGCGGATTGGAGCACAGCCATAGATCCCCCAGCTGTTGCGGCTCACGATGGCACCATAGGGCTAAAAAAAAACAACAGCCAGGCTGCGCCAGAACAAATCTGCCTCTCTCTCTCTCTCTCTCTCTCTCTCTCTCTCTCTCTCTCTCTCTCTCTCTCTCTCTCTCTCTCTTCTCCTCTCTCTCTCTCTCTGTTTTCTCCTAGCTGCTTGCGTGCTTCAGAGACGCAACCATAACCTAATCACAAAGAGTCGACGGGCCTTTTTACTTGCCCTGACTTACTCTCTCTTGTCTTACGGCCACGCACCGCCCCCCGAAACGCGTGTGACAAGTCCAATGACATGTTCGGGCAAGCATAGCGGCAACAGTGGGGAAATGGCGAAAAAACGAAGTGAAACAGTCAAAAACTTGCAAAAAAGCCTTTGTTCTACGCGACTCAGAAAGCAGTTTCGGACGAGTTCTCTGTTGGCATTTTGCCAATGACCGCCACGATACGGGTGCATGTATGTGCTTGTATATCCATGCAGCACCGCAGCCGCTTCATACCAATCCCTTCGCTTCATATTGTACTTCGCAAATGAAGCGATACGAGCATCAGCATCGGTCGGACATTTGTGGGCGGGCGCAGTGGGCGTTCGGGTCGGTATGTTGCAGCTTGATAGGGCGCTGTAAGGGTACCTTTTTTTGGAAAAGGCAGTACACAGCGCCTGCTCAGGGGCGCGGAATACCGTAGCGCCTCCTCAAGGGCGGGAATAACATTTTTCCAAGCATAATTCGCGGTGGGGTGCAGCAAAGTCGACTTAGTGCCGTTCTGAAGCAATCATAGAGACAGTCTGATGCAACCACGAACTATGTCTGGAGTACACTCTTCGTGCTAGTACTGGGAAAGTTGAAACTGTTTAACTGAAAAAGCAAGATTTATTCTTCAAAAGTCTCAGATGTCTCCTATAACCTTCAACTTTTCTGATTGATAGTGTGACCGTTCCTGGAACTTCACTGAACTGTTAGATAAGGATAAGAAAAGACTGATAGGTTGGATTCACAGCAGGACACGGCCGTTGGGGGAGTCCTAACAGAAGGAGAAGCCGTGCCTGATCGCTGGGAGAGGGAGTTACATTAGGCAGTTTTTGAGGATAATGGTTTCCCCGTTTCAGAAACGCTATCCACGCACCTCCTAGTCGCCGATGCCGTCTACTTTTTGGCTCCTACTATTTTTGCTTTACCGCTTCTGATAGTTGGATTTGGGGTTGCGGTGGGAGACTGTACTGAAGAGTATTGCCTCAGTACCTGGCCGTGTCCAGTTTCTAATAAAGATGCAGGTATGTGATTTTTGTTGTTCGCTTGACCCATAAAAAATGCACGCGGTCAAAATCCTCAATGAGCGCCCATTCTCAAGCTTCAGTTTTCAGCACTGGAAACCGCAAAAAATGAACTTACGAAGTTATCACAGCCTTGGCTGTAGAAATATCGAGCCACCGCCTCGTCGATGACAGCGTTCGCATATGGTGGCGCTGGAGGACGACTTTGACGCTTATAGCGATGTGATGGCGGCAGATCTAGGAGAGAAACTAGCATTCTCTTCACAGTAACACCGATCTAAGTAAATGACAGGTGTCCTTTTAACGTCAGTTATGCCAACATCAGTTCAAAAGATAAGGTTCAAATAATACGGAGGGAAGCGTAGAGCGCGTTCATACTTCGCGATCACGCGATGGAATCGCGCGATTGGACACTCGATCGCGAAGTATCAACGCGCCCTTGACGAGAACCAAAATGAGCTCACCATCGAACTGTTCAAGCATATATCGCATGGCCATCTCGGAAAACTGCGCCTCGCTTGTCGGTATAGGCAACCATTTGGAACTAACTATATGAGTACCATCACTATGCTCGGGCCATAGCATCGCTGCAAACTCGGTTACGGCCAGCCCAAATCAACGTTCTGAAGTGGTTGATCTCATCAGTACTTCTCCATAAAGTGGGCTGTTACTTAAAAAAATCAATAAAACCAAAACTAATCGAAATGAGGCAGCGTTCGCACTTCACGACGGCATCGCTGCGATCGCGCATGCTTTCAACAGCGTCGAAGCACGTCGAAAGCATGCGCAATCGACGTGGTCGAAAGAATGCCGCGCCGAACGCGCGACCGAAGCGCTGCCGTCGCGATGTCTGAACGCTCCTAAGCATCCCATTGAAGAACAAAATGTACTTTCCCCTCCGTGTGCCCTAGTTCTCGCCATGTGTGGGGTGAGTGAATCAGCAACCGTAAAAGCGTGCCATTTTCTCCGGTAAAAGTGCAAGGTACCGGAGCTGGAGAGTAATACCCGGATGCGGTCTCCATCTGTGCCCGCTGCAGCACGGCCAGCTAGGCGCTCAGCAAAAGCCTATCGCGCTACTTGTCTGCACCCTCTCATTACTGGTTATTATCGGCCGCTGAGTGCGTTGCGAAGCCTCGGTATCGATACAAGTACTGCACACTGAAGATAGTGCGGACGTAGTGTGGAAATGACACGCGGGTATCACTACTCTCCAGCCCTCTACCCATGCACTTTTGAGCGGAAGGACAGGAAAGCTACTGCAGCTGTCGAACCATTCACCTCGCACACGGAAAGGACTATTCTCGAAGGTGAGTGTGCAGATCGTCTTCGAAAAAGCATTGTCCATTAACTAGCAGAATCATTGAGTCCATAGAAGAGCGATTTTCTCTCTTGCCCCACTTATAAAGCCAAAATCGAGATCTCGCTCGATTAGAAATGCGGAAATTGCTGGATGTCACGAGCAGGAAAATCACACTCAGGGCACGTCCTATCGATGGAGAAATTCACTGCAAAATACGACGAACCCCTCCCAAATTTCTTCCTCTGGTACAGCCACCTCCTCCATCCCACCAACTTTTCCCAATTTCTAAAAAACTATTCTGTTTGCCCAACTTTGAAACTACCATCGAGCGTAGGTTGAGAGGGAGAGGGAGGTTACAGCCCAGGGAAACGGAATACCGCTGAAAAAGTAATTGGAAGAAACTTTTCAAGGCCAGACTCCCTCCCAAAGCGACAAAAAATATGAACCCTACTCCTACCCGCTATGGGAGTCAACCAACCATATGGAGAGCACGCTTGAAACAGGAAGCAGTAGCCTCGTGCTCGCGCCAGCCAAGGCCGAATTTCAACCATGGTGCGAAATATGGTTATGAAAGACAATGATTTCCTGAGTAAAACCTTTTCATTGTCATGTATGTCCAAACTGGAGTTTTCGAGAGTTCCCACCCCACGCCTGACCGTTTTCCTACTTACTTCGTTAACGGGTATTTTCTGAGAAAAAATGCAAAAAGAGGAGAGTAATACCAAGATGGGAAGTTAAGGTAGGAGAGGGTGCCAGGCTTCATTTAAGCACATACGGGAGCAAATTCCTTCAGAAGTCGAGCGCTAACTTCGAAAAAAGACAGAAAAGGGCGGACAAACAATCAATTTTGAACACCCACTGACTTTTTATTGTCCAGTAGTTTTCGTTCATCCTCGTTCTCGACGATAACAGCATCACTACATCTTGGAGCAGGTGGAAAGCTATCATACAATGGACGCATGAAGCCATGGGACGTCACCATAGACCATACTTTCTTTGAGAACTGACTACACTAAAAAGCCACATGAATAAAATTTTTTTCACATTATAACAAGGAGTACAACCGTCGACATACTGTTGTCTTCATCCAGTCTGGAGAGTCTAGCTTTTGTTTGAGATCTGCAAGGCGCTGTCGTATGATCGCCTTCGGCGAGGGTGGAGACGGCACTCGAGGTGGGGGCACTCTCGGAGTGTCTGCGACTGAAATACACAAAACTCAATGTAACTGTGGCTGCAAAACTACAGTGCCCCAATATTGAAGAACTGACGGCGCAGTTTGTCGACGAGGGGGGGGGGCATTCGGCTTTTCATAGATGTGCCGACCCATCTAGGTAGCCTTTTCTCGAGTTGACACGTTTTAGGATGGTGGCTAGACGATCTTACTCCAGCTTCACAGGCGTTCACAAGTTTTACCATGGTGAGATTCGTAAACCGGAACTAGGGAAGCAATGTTAGTACAAAATGCCCCCCGTCGCTAAACAGCGCCCCAAGTTGTCCAGTGCGGACCATACCACCCTTCACACGCAATTTGTTTTCATTTTTATGTGTCATCGCGGACATTTCCTTCGAAAGCGACTTTAAGTATCGAGGAGGATCTCACTGTGATCCGCAAGTGAACCACAAATAACACCTATACGGACCACAGCAAGCTCGTAAAGTGGTTAGTTATGAACTGTTACCCAAT